ATATATATATATATATATATATATATACTTTAACAAAGAATGGGAGGAGACTATTATACGAGACTCGAGCCACTCCTAATATGCCTAACAATTCGTGTGCCACCTCCTCAAGGCCAACTGTGTCAGAGAGGATTCAAACTCTCGGCCTGATGGGTCTTATACCGTGGATGCCAACAGGCTGGGGTACTATATATATATATATATATATCTATATATATATATTAATCGACAGACGGAAATACCGATCAACCCCTTTGCGTAAACCCCGCTAGGTCTAAGAGCCGAAGCGGTGTGCAAATAATTCGAGCACCAAACCCTAGAACTAAGGGGACTTACGAACTTCAAAGAGACCGTTCTACCAAATGCCACGAAATGTGCAGCATATATATATTTGTGTGTGTGAGTGCCACCAACTATGTGTGTGTGCGCGCGCGCTTAGGATATAATAAAAAAGAAAAGAAAAAAAACTGAATATAATACAACAACGAAGAAAATCAAAGGAAATAACTTAGAATAGTCAGAATTAAATAATAGTCATTACTACCCATTAAAATATTCTAATATTCACCCTCCAGTTGAGCATAGATGTCAGACATGTTCAACTTGAACTTAAAATCATCGAATAATGGTCGAAAAAGGTTCTTTGTAAGGATATCCGTCAGTTGGCTACTCGATGACACAAACAAAACGCAAATTTTCCCGAATTCAAGTTTTTCCTTAATGAAGTGTTGGTCAATTTCAACGTGTTTGGTGCAATCATGTTGTACTGGATTATGAGCATAGCTAATAGTTGTCTTGTGATCACAAAACAACTATAGGATAACGAAGACTGACATATGCATTCTTGAAGCATGATGCGTAATCAGAGAGCATCACAAATTCCCAGTGGCGTTGATCAAAATTCTGCTTCAGCACTGCTCCGGGCAACCACAGACTGCTTTCCCCAAACAAATGAGTAGTATCCCAAGATAGATCATCGATCATGGACGGATCTGGCCCAATCAACATCTTTGAAAACACCAATATTGTGAGAGGTGTGGCGAGAAAAATACAAATATGAGTCTGTTGTGTCTTTTAAATAGTAGAGAATCTGGTGGATAGCTTGATGATGGTGGTCATAGGGGACATGCATGAATCTACTTACTACCCCAACTGCATGGCATATGTCGGGGCGTATATGGGCAAGGTATACGAGTTTCCCCACAAGACGCTGGTAGCAAGTTTTGTTTCAGGAGTTGCCTTGGGAATATCAAGAAGCTTTTCATTTGGATCCATCAGGATAGCTACTGGTTTGCACAGAAGAAGATTGTTCTCTGTCAAAAGGTCAATGACATTTCCCCTAGGCAAATGCCAAGCAACTTCCATACCTAAGAAGTACCGAAAAGATCCAAGTCATTCATATCAAAGGAGGCGGCAAGAATGTCTTTCGAGATTCCAATGTGAGTAGATCATTCCCTGTGAGAACAATATCATCGACATAAACGATAAGAATAGTTATCTGATTGTTAGAGGAATGTCGGAAGAAGAGTGTGTGGTTTGATTGAGCCTGAGTGAATCCATGATCTACCACCACCTTTGTGAACTTCCCGAACTATGCTTGTGGTGACTATTTTAGTTCATAGAGGGACTTTTGCATTCTACATATTTGCCCCTGGGAGGCAGTGGAGTCAAGCCTGGAGGAAGGGCCATGTAAACTTCTTCTATAAGATCACCGTTCAGGAACACATTTTGAAATCAATCTGAAATAGAAGCCAATCCATATTCCACAGTCAGGGATAAGAGAACTCGAATAGTGTTTAATTTATCCACTGAAGCAAATTTTTCCTTGTAGTCAACTCTATAAGTCTGTGAGTATCATTTGGCGACCAACTGTGTCTTATTGCGTTCAAAGGATCTATTAGATTTAAACTTGACGCTTAAAAATCCACCGGCATCCCACTGTTTTCCTGCTCCAAGGAAAATAAAAAATGTCTCAAGTATGGTTTTGCTCAAGGGCATTCATCTCCTCCATGATAGCAGCTTTCCAGGTCGGCTCTGCTAAAGCAACCTCAATAGTAGATAGAAGCTAATGATTTGTCAAGACCGTACCAAATACTCTTTAGTTTGACGATAATCTGTAAAAGGAGAAAGTTTGACACAGGATAGAGAAAACATGTCTGATTGTGTACCTTACTAGGAGAACTCGCTTCCTCATTTTGAGTTGGAACAATGTTAGAGATGTCGTCCAGAGCGGATTCAAGGTCCAGCAAGGTGTTAGAAAGCTCCTGAGTAGGTGCATGAGAATGAGTGTGTCGAATGTAAACACGGGGAGTGGGAGGGTGTGTAGGTGGAATCAGAGGAACAAAGGGCTCTTTAGTGATATGAGAGGTGGCTGGAACAAAAAAAAACTAAAGTTTCTTTGATGGTAGGTGACGTAGGGGGGAACATCCACAGGAGTAGAGTAAGAAATGATGTCCAAGTACTCTAGCTCCCCCTCACTTGAGGTCGAGTTAGGAAAGTAGGGAACACTTTGAAAAAAAGAGACATCGGCACTCACATAGACCTTATTTGTAGTAGGGTCCCCTTTTGTGTGGCAGAGTATCCTAGAAAAACACCTTTTATGAACTTGAGATCAAGTTTATTCTGAGTTTGGGCTATGTTCCGAACAAAGACTGTGCAACATAAAATTTTGGGGTTAAAGTGGAGAAAACCCGGTTGTTAGAAAAGAACGATCTCAAGACAGATAAAGGGGTACGAAAGTTGTGAATTTTTTTGTGGACTAATTATGAGATTAAGTTGTGGTAAGAATGGAATCATTCCAGAAACACTTTGGGACATTATAGTGAAACATAATGGAGCGAGTAGCGTAGAGGAGATGTCAGTTTTTCTTTTCGGTTACATATTTTGTTGAAAAGTGTCGAAACAACAGCTATGATAGAGGATGACCTTACTTAACAAGAATTCTCCTAATATTAAGTTAAAAAATTCACGAAAATTATCAATCCGAAGAAGTTGAATTGGAGTTTTGAATTAGATCAAAATGAAGGTGTGAAAGCTTTTGAAAGTGACAACTTCAAATTTATCTTTTAAAATATAGACATATATCATCTGAGTGTGATCATCAATCAAAATAAAAAATCATTGTTTCTTGGTATAGCTAAAGGTGCGAGAGGGCCCCCATAAGCCACTTGTGAATAAGAGAGAAAAAAGTGAACAGTGGTGTAATTGTGGGGTGGATAAGGGACACGATGATGTTTAGCTAATTGACAGGTTTTACATTTGAAAATAGAAGAATTTTTGGTAATAAACATCAGTGGATACAATTACTTTAAATATTAAAAACTAGGATGACTTAAACGACTGTGTAGCAATATAATAAGACAATCAGTGGATTGAGATAAACTGAAACTACTGGATGGAGTGTCCTATTCTCAGTGTTTTTTTTCTTGAAAGATGTAGAGCCCGCCAATCCGCTTAGCAGTTCCAATCATCCTCCCCAAACAATGATCCTGAAAAGATATATCAACTTACTGACTAATAAAAGGTTACATTTCAGCAAAGATACATGTAACACAGATTCTAGAGTTAGGTTTGTTGTTAAAGCCATAGAACATTTATCAACAATAGAACTTTGAGACCATCAACAATTTTAACAGTATATTTTCTTAACAAGGACAGTATGTTGAAAAGGCTTGAGAGCTTCGCTTCCAATCATGTGATTTGTAGTACTTGAATCAATGATCAATGGACTAGAAGGGGCAAAAGAAATGAAAGTCATGGGATTGGTCTTGACAAACATGGGAGGTTGACAGGTCGGAAGAGAGTAGGGTGGATCCAAGCATCTTAATTAGTTCCTCCATTTGACTCTTCAGAGAATTGGAGGATTCTGGATTGTTCTGGGTAGAGGTCGATTGTACCGTGTTTCATTCAAATGTCGTGGTGAGACCCTTAGCAGTGAAAGATTTGGTTGTATGTTTAGATGCAGGTTTTACGAGTGTGGTTGGGTGACAGAAATCATAAGTAGGGTGATCAGCCTGGGGTTGAGCACTTTTAGAGACCAAGGTGGATGCTTCGACAGACTAAGTGGAAACACCAAGCATTACAAGTCTCTGGCTCTCTTCGCGACGAACCTCAGTGAAAGCAATGCGAGTAAAAGAAAGAGGATCCTGACCAAGAATATGGCCCCAGACTTCGTCAAGATCTTTGTTGATGTCTGCCATAAATTAGAACATGCGGTTTTTTTTTATAATTTTTTGAAAAAGAGACAAATCGACCGGAGATTCCCAAATGTAGTCATAACATAAGTCACATTCCATTCATAAAGCAATTAGATCATTATAGTATTGGGTCACGGTCCTAGATTGTTGTTTTGTCCCACAGATTTTCTTAGATACATCATAGAGTTGATTGGAATTCCCCACATCCAAGTAGAAATCACGGACTGTCGTCCAGCTGCACTAGCGGAAGAAA